GTTTCGCCTTTAGAGGGCGATTTCAATATTCACCATTCTATTTCCCTTTTAGTTTAATGCATTCGGCACCAGATACAGTTAGGGGTTTCTTTTTCATTAACCGTCAATCAAATTAGCTGTACCTGAAATCAATTTTTTTTAAAGGCGTTCTTGCGTAAATGAATGCACAGGTAACGTAATTGGTCGTCTGTTTCTTATAACCGAATGCACGGACAATGAAAACGAGTGAACTTTCGTTGAATTGAAATGTGATTAAAGACGTGCATTCAAAGTCTGACGAAAACGAATGCCCAATTTTCAGAAGTGAATGAACATTTTAGGAAATTGGCCGAGAAAACCTATAATACAACAAAGCGAAATTTGAGCATTAGAAACATGACTTATTGTTTTTATTCTTTTAAGTACATATCAGTGCAAAGAGTTTATATTTTTTAAATGGTTATGTCGCGTTTTGTAAATAAACTGTTAAATTATGAGCTCTATTTTTTTTTGTAATTGGATCATTATGCCGTAATAAAAAACTGATTAGTATTTTAAAGACCTTTCAATCATTTGGATAATTTGAGTTTTTAATTTTTACTACATGAAGACGAAAGATTAAAGGAGTTTATCGCGTTGAACAAAATCTAAGTAAAACCCATATACAATTTTAAATGATGTAAAAAAATTCTGAAAGACCATGCAAGAAAAAAACGATATGACCCGTGTTTACTTCGTTGTACCAAAATATGGGAAAAAATAAAATGCTGAGCAGATGAAGGAAATTTGGCCTGTTTGTAGATTTTGAACTCAGTCAGGTAGTGCATTTCCTGACGTGTCACTTTAACTTCACATCTGTACCATTTTTTTTGCTCCGGTCAAGGTTGACTATACCAACGCACTGACGTGACTGAATTAGGACCAACAGAGCGTGATACATGCTAGTACGTTGCATTCAATGGGAAGGGGGATTCGTCAGGGAAGTTTTATGCAGTCAATCCGGAGTGAACAGCCGTACGTGGTTGCGAAGGCCTATAAGCGTCGCCGTTGTTAAACAAAGTTAATCCGATCACGTACTTAAACACTACGCAGAGCAGTGAAATTCATGCACCCCAAAAAACATGGCCTTTTGAACGTTGTGTATCTCAGAAAATATGCTCAGTATGATTGAAATGTTAAATTTTAACGGAAGAAGAAATTCCAAATTTCATGTCAGTGAAAAAATCGCCGTGTTCGTATATCGATCATGCCGAAACGTCAATTCTGGTTTAATACTGGTAATACTGACATAAAGTCGGGAAGAAATCGTTCGAAAACGTCCCCAAAATCTATGTATTCATCTCAATTTCTAGGGAATTCCCTCAAGTTGTTATTTCACGGGCAGTTGAACACTTATATCATCTAAGTGTATTCCAAATTTCAGCTTAATCTACGTTGCATTCAGTGGGAAGGGGGGAGGGGGTTCGTCAGGGAAGTTTTAATGCAGTTAATCCGGAGTGAAGAAGTCAGGTCACGAGTAAGGATTCAACAACGACAAAAGGTTGTTGGTTTGTAATACAGAGTGGTCACTTTTTCAAGTTTACACTTTTTTAGAGGCAGATTTCTCAAAATTGAAGAGACATGTCGAAATTGTTTTAAGATATTCGTAAACGACAAGATCTTGATCGTATGTGGTGAAAACGGCGTGGAAAATAAAGCTCAGGTTAAGAAAAAGCGGCCATTTACAGAAGAATGGTTAAAAACTAGTTGGTCCACGTCTATGGCAGGCGTGTAGACCTAATTACAATTATTGAAGTTCTTTGTACGTGCAGTGCTATTGTGTTGACCATATCTCATAGACTTGCGTGTGGACAAACTGGTTTTTGATCATTATTAATTAAACCATCGCCATTTCTTAAGTTAGGCTTTATTTCAGCGCCGTTTTCACCATATATACCACGAAGACCCTGTAGTTTAGGAGTATCTAATTGAAACAATTTTAACGTGACTTGCAAATAATTAACCTAAAAAACAATGGTCTGAAGGTCATCCTTGACGTCGTTGTGTCGTCGTCGCTCGCGTCGTCCAGGTTGAAGGCGGGAGACGCCCACGGGGACGGAACAAACTGGCAGTCGTTATTTTCGTCATCGCTGAAGGAATACCTTCTGGGCTGTGGTCTATCACAATTTGAATGGGTCGAGAATGTTATATAGTGTGGGTGATTGACTTTTACTATAGATTACAATGACTACGACTTGGCATAACGCATAATATGGCACGTAACTAGTTTCCAATGCGACCCCTCCAAATTATCACGGTACTCATGCGCATCAAGGAAACGAATGAATGTTCATATGGCAAAACTGTCCCGACCTACATGTACATTGTATGCACAGACATTCAAGCAAACAACATGCTCACGCTACAAAGTTCACACACACACAATACGTTTTAGCCCACGCAGTCAAGTTCAATGGTGTATCGAAAACAGGAAGTATGAATTTAGCCGTGTTACAATTTGTACTGCAAGACTGGGGTCGATGGGGAACTGAGAAGTGGGCAATTATATAGGGCAAAGTCTCCATTTAAGATGTAAATTAATAGCTTTCAGAGAATTTTTTTTCCAGATGTGACGGAATTAACTATGATGAACTCATAGGTTAAATGAAAAGGTCTTTAATTCATGGCGTTGTTCCTTCATGATGCCGCGAAATATGTGAAACTTTTCATAATTGTAAAAACTTTCGTAATTGTTTAGAATGATTAAAACACTGAGGTTGGTGGCTAAGATATATCGTGTACAAAGTCCACAGGATTATGGGTGTATAAACAAGCATATAAGCTTAATGCATGCGCTTGTTCTTTTCTTTGTCTTTGTTCTCCTGGCTATGAGCAATTTACAGGAATGCGGAAGTTGCATTTGTGATCGCATCCGCGTAGGCCTGACCTCAAGTCAGTTGCGCGGCAGCAATCGAGCTGTTAGTTTACGATTGAATCATGGTATCAAAAGGATCAATTACTATAGTCATACTAGATCAATGCAGTGAGCTATATCATCGCAAAAAACATTGCTGAATGAATTTGGTGAATGATTGAAAAGCTTTCGTGGTTTCGGCTCGATAAGTCCGGCACTTTTTGCATGGAATATATATTTATATGACTAACATTTGGTTTCGTTGTTGTAAAGCTATTGTGCCGTGCCAATGACCCGGTTTCGCTATGACTCGCTGGGGCGGAGCTTTCAGAAGAGGGGTGTGTGATATAAGGGGGCGGGTGAGTCTTAGGCGCAGTGCTAAGGGTCCAGGCTCCAGGGGCATGTCCCCCGGAGAACGGTTGAAACCTACGATGACTTCTCTTGCATTCTTAAGGCAATTCAAGAATAAATTGAAGAAATTTCACATACACATTCCCATTTATTATTTTGGCCCCATTTTACCAGTTTCATTAGCCAATAGTCAGCGGCTGGGGGGGGGGGGGGGTGTTGCAACTCCCCCTGTCTAGATCCGGTACTTTCGTGTCGCGTACGTGTTGTGGGAGCCTAAATTTCGGTTCGTCGATGATTATTTCAATATCAATTAATGTAAGTTGATCGACCGTCTCCAAAACCGGTGAGGAAAAAGCACACTATCCGGGCATAATTATTGTAGCGATATACAACTTGTGTAGGCTATATAACGTCTTATTTGTTGCATTTATTTTATGTCCTGATCGACTGGGCCCATCCCATCGAGGGCAATAACTGAGTACTTTGAAAGAAAATAGAGCATTTCAATTTACAACATATTGAAAATATTGCGAATTCAGTTGATGGCCAGATAAAGATTAAAATTGTAGACCTCAACTTCCGTTCAATCGATCACGCAGATAACAATAATTGGGTACATTCAAACACGGCAGCAGTGTGACTCCAGACTATATAGTCAGTGTTCATATGGACTCGCGAGACTTAGGCCAATATAGGCCCTATACCAGTTTCTCGTCTCCGCCCGCTTCCTTTTTCCTGGCCGCCTCTTTTTCCCCCCTTTTTTTTAATTCATATACTTTTGAAATATATTTTGCACATAACTCAATATTGTCAATATTTTGTCTTTTTATTTGTTTCCAACAAAATTGTAGCTATGTAGGAAACTTATGGAGAAAATCGAGAAAATTGAAGAATTCCGATCCGCGATCTTGGAAAATCCGCCATTTTTATCGGGGGGGGGGGGGGGGAGAGTGCCCGCCTCCTTCATTTTTTTTTCTAAAGGCTAAGGCCGGACTAAGGCCGAACCGGCGAGTGATGGTTCATGAGTCAGGAACACTGTGTCCTATACTTATGCCACTAAATCAATTTCACACAACTTTATTACGCAGTTAAAATTTAAATCATTGTAAAATCAATTTTTAAAAATCCAAAAGAAAGGCGAAAGAAAAAACAAAACAATTAATTGATAGGCCTTTGACACCATACCAGAGGACACCAAAATTAAATTAGGGCCTACATCTAGTCGTTTATCAGATAAACTTGCTCTCCGTCAAAACAGAACTGATATTTTTTGTCACTTTTTGTGCGTCTGCAACCCTCGCTCTAAAAAAGAACTTGAAGGTTTTCTTTTACATTTCGGGTTACTTTCAGTGCGTCACTGCATGGAGCACAAAATATCAGCATCGTGAGTTTCGGACTCCGTCCAAATATTTCGTTATTAATGGAGTAATTGTTTGGCTTTTACATAAGTACTTTAGACTGGTTGTATTTATTTTCGTTCGATGTCTCATTCTTGTTCTTAAACAAAATTACACGTAGGGCATAGCTCACGTACAGGCCTATGCTTTAGCAATATCTGTATGGGCATAATTCGGGTGAAGGAGAAAGCAATTTTGAAAATATGCAATGTTAGGCATTTAATTGCCTCCTCTTGCAATGTAGAAACAATCACAGTTTTATCTGTCAGTTTATTAATTTATATATTCACCAACTAACGAACTTTTGGGAGGTTTCGCAACACATGACACCGCGCCGAGCCCGGCCGGCCGGCCTTGATGTCACTCGACCCAGCATGCAACATTCAAAATGGCCGCCGCCTGTCACGGGCTTATTTACTCGTCCAGCTGACGCAGTACTTTGATGATTTTTCTAGTTTTTACTGATCGAAGTCGCATTGTTGTTTTCATATCAGGAGGAATGTGCCCAGATAGATCAACAGGATGAGTTCTAGGCGTGGACATTTCAAAGACAGGATTTTAGAAGGCATTGCGAAGGCTATAAAAGAGGTGTGTTTAGTGAATCGTTAAATCAGCTGTAGCCGGCTTGGCTTGGCGTAGCCCCATAAATGTGGCCTATTTACTGGACTGCCTCCGTAAACATAGGCCACACATCCACCTGTACAAAAAACGTGTCGACTTTGCCAAATTTTGATTTTCACATTTAGGCTTACTTTTTACGTTTTTTTTGCTTTAGAAGCATTCTCACCGTCTATATAGGCTAATCAGAAAGTGCTGCCTTTTTCAGATGTCCATTTTTCGTGAAATTTCCAGATACATTTACACACGTTTGCGTATCAAAATTTCAACATGAAATTTCACAAAAATTAAACATCTGAAAAAGGCAGCACTTTCTGATTAGCCTATATAGAGGGTGAGAATGCTTCTAAAGCAAAAAAAATCTACAAAGTAAGCCTAAATGTGAAAATCAAAATTTGGCAAAGTCGACACGTTTTTTGTACAGGTGGATGTGTGGCCTATGTTTACGGAGGCAGTCCAGTAAATAGGCCACATTTATGGGGCTAGGCTTGGCGGCGTAGACTCGTAGTAGTGCAAATAAACACATGTACATCATTGGTATTGCGTACAAACACATATGCAGGCATAACAATACATATAAAGAAGCGCTTCCAAAAACTGCGATTTTGATGAGCATGGAAAAGTAGGCCTAGCTGAAAGATCAGCGTAACATTCATGACATTAGATTACAAATGGGATTGAAATACAAAAAAGGGTGAAAGAATGGTGAATGAAAAAAGTCTTTAACTTAATGCACCCATCAACTGTTTCCCCCCACCCCTCCTCCAACAGTGGGGGAAGGTCACCCAGTAGTTTAACACCTAGAAGTTGAAGTACATGTACTAGAACAAGTAATGGTCTCAAAAAAGAAACTTACTGATTGTTTTTTCAAATATATTCACAGATTTTTAATTGAAGGTCAAAATTTCAGGTCGGTTAAATTATTTTAGTTGGCTTTTTCGTTATCCCCACATTTGATACGAAATAGGATTATTATGAAAGACCCATTATATTCAGTGAAGATTGAATTGCATTAGGCCAAGTAAAAAAAACATGTTTAGTTTTGGGTTTGTGAAAAAAAAGGAGGAGGTGTTTGTTTGTTTGTTTAATTGGGTTTTTTTTTCAAGGTAGCCGGCAACCGTTGGTTTTTACACTGTTCAAAGATACAAAAAATAAAACAGACATGCTGGACAAGAAAATTAAACATGTTTACAGTGTTTTTAATAGTTTTCCAGCACGGTTTTACAAGAATTAAAAAATACTGCTGCGCGGGCATTCTTGTCCACGTTGAGGCTGGTTTGGAAGTCGCAGGGTCGACTGCATGCATGATGTGGGAAGTGACCGATAGAGTCTAGAATTAGAATCGACATTTTGTTTTTTTTTTTTTTTAAAGGAGGCGGCCTCCAAAAAGGAAGCGGCTGGGGACGCTTAACATGTTTTTTTAAAATTTGGCCTTAGGCCAAAAAAAAAAAGTCTCCGGTTTCTGGTATGCGCGCGCGTCGCCGTAGCCATGCGCGTCGGCAAAATGAAAAAGTTTTTTTTCAATGAAAGATGATGTCTCAAAACCGCCAAACTCACTGGTTTGACTGGAATCCTGCTGCTGAACGTGTTTTTAGATTGGGTTATGGTCGAGAATAAGCTTTATGTGGCCTCTCTGGACTCCCATATATTTGCACTAAGTTTAGTCGGGCACCAGTTGCAGTCATCAGCTGACATTTCAATGATTTTAAGCAAAAAAATCAGGTAAAAAAAAAAAAAAGCCGCGTCGCCGCATCACATTTTGGGCAAGCTCCATAGCAGAAACCGGAGACTTTTTTTTTTGGCCTTACGCAATGATTTTTTTTTTCATTGTTCGTGACATTAAATAATGTTCATTCACAAGCAAGCAAATCACTTTTTTCCATCCTTCCTCAAACCCATATTGCCTTCCCTAAAAAACATTTTGCATTTCCAAGACCACTTGGTTCATGATTTCGGTTTTTCTTCTTTTTTTTTCTATGAAAGGTTCATGCCTTTAGTTGTAGCGCTGATGGTGAAATCGTGACTGTTACAAATGATGACCGACCCCTACAGAAACTAGTGGAGAGACTGGACCATGCATTCCTGCATGGGTAAGAATCTTACTTATAGTGGAGCTGCTAAGCGAAAAATTGTGCACTTTGTGGTAAAAGCATGAAATTCGGCATGTGGGGTCAAAATGGGCTAAAAATCATTTTAAGATCGGGACCCATCCTGGATCTTGCCCATTTTGGGGGCGGAGCTTGATTTTTCAAAAAAGGGGGTGCAAACAATACAAACTCATGAAAACTGTATTTAACATCAAATTTCCTTGGTTTTTTACGCTTTGAAATAAACTTAAACATGCAATAAGACATTCTAGCATTCTAACACCTGTTAATTTTCCACCCATTTTGTGGGCATGGTCTAAATGGTAAAAGAGGCGGTATATATTAGCAGTTTGGTTCTAATATGGAAAACATCATTCAGTTTGGTGGTAAAATTCTGAAAATTGGCATGTCCAATTGAAATGGGTGAACATAATTTTTAGAGGTGAACGCATCTTGGATCTTGCCCATTTGGGGGGCGGAGCTTGATTTTTCAAAAAGGGGAGTGCAAAAAAAGAAAACTCAGAAAACTGTATTTTACATTCACTTTGTTTCTCATGCTTTGAAACAAAGTGGATGTAAATTCTAACATTCTAACGTGTTATTTTCACCCTTTTGCGGGCGTGGCCTAAATATGTAAAGAGGCGGTACATTGGAGCAGCTTGATTCAAACGAGGGAAAATCATCATTTTTGCTGGTAAAAACACAACTTTTCCATCGGTTAACTATGTTTACCATAGACTGTAAAGATAAGTTTAAACGGTTGCAAGACTAATTGTTGCCCTTTAGGGGTGGAGCTACATTTTAAAGTAGGCGGCTATAAAAAAATCATATCTAAATTGTTATGATTGTCTACAAGTAACTTACACAGGGTGAGTCAAAAAAAGGAAACCCAAATGGCAGGACAAATTTTTTTAATGAAGTTCTGCATGTAGCACTATCAAAATCATATGAACTTCAAATTTGGTTTGTGTATTTTTCTTGGTAATCCTAAGAAGCCTATTGCATTTGGGGCCGAAAGGTCAAGGGTCAAGGTCACAGTGGCTGAAACAATAGAAATTTTGTCAGCGCGATAACTTGAGAAATACTTTACATATGAACTTCAAATTTGGTTTGTGGATTGTCCTTGGCAATCCTAAGAAGCTTATTGCATTTTGGGCTAAAAGGTCAAGGGTCAAGGTCACAGTGGCTAAAACAACAGAAATTTTGTCAGCGTGATAACTTGAGATATACTTTACATATGAACTTCAAATTTGGTTTGTAGATTGTCCTTGCAATCCAAAGAAGCCTATTGCATTTGAGGCCAAAAGGTCAAGGGTCAAGGTCACAGTGGCTAAAACAAAAGAAATTTTGTCAGCGCGATAACTTGAGAAATACTTTACATGTGAACTTCAAATTTGGTTTGTGGATCGTTCTTGGTCAAGGGTCAAGGTCACAGTGGCTAAAACAAAATCTTGTATTTATTCTGAGATCATAGGGATTAGGGATTAATTCATATAAAACCTACACGAACGTGTTTGCTTAATTTTCATTCATACAGATGCTAGTAAATGCTTCAAAATTGGAAGTAAAAGCAAATGCCATGTTTTATTCATACGAACATGGTATCATTTGTACTTTATGAACTTTGTTAATATTAATTTTTCGCGATTAACATATAATAAATGCTGTAGCTTTTGCGCAGAATTATTTGCTTTATAATTTCAAGGTTGCCCCAACCCAGCCTTGTGAATGACAAGTGCATATTTGAAATCTGAAGCATTTACTCCTTTATATTCATACGAAACGTACAGATGGGAGTAATGCAAATGCCAGTTTTTATTCATACGAACTACCGTATGGTATTATTTGTACTTTTTCGCGATTAACATTAATAAATGCAGTAATTTATGCGCAGAATTATGTGCTTTTATATTTTCAAGGTAGCCCCAACCCAACCTTGAAATATGACTAGTAAATATTTAAAATTTGTAGCATTTACTCCTTTTTATTCATAAGAAACGAAGTAAACGCTTATAGTGTAGCAAAAGCTTAAAGGTAAAAGTAATTATTTTCAGAATTTAGCAAACGGTTTTTAGTAAAAGTGTTTACTTAATTTTCATTCATACAGATGCGAGTAAATGCTTCAAAATGGTAGCAAAAGCAAATGCCATGTTTTATTCATACGAACATGGTATCATTTGTACTTTATGAACTTTAATAAATGCAGTAGTTTTTGCGCAGAAGTATTTTACTTTATAATTTCAAGGTTGCCCCAAACCAGCCTTGTAAATGACAAGTGCATATTTAAAATCTGAAGCATTTACTCCTTTATATTCATACGAAACGAAGTAAACGATAAATAATTTTTTTTCTGGTAATGAAACCAAGGATCCTCAAAAGTGCATGCCCCAGGCACTGTAGCTCGCAAACCCCGAAAAAAAACGTAGAGAGAAGACAATGAGAAGAAATTACAGTTTTAGAGGTGGGAGGAAAACCCCAGAAGAATAGTCTGGGGAAAACCCACGGAATCAGGTAGGGACTGAAAACCCAATCCATATGTAGACCATGGGTGCCGATGCACAGCGCATTGTGCACGTAAACGGCATTGCGTTGGTCGCGTTTGATGCGCTTTTTTTGTATCTGTCCTCCAGCATGTGACCCTCCCCGGTGCCGCTTTCCGTTTCGGTTACGATAGTTTTATTTTCTGCAAACTTATAAACATGTAAAGCTTTACATTTTGCAGGCCATTTACTCCAGAGCAAATGGTTTTTAGTAAAAGTGTTTGCTTAATTTTCATTCATACAGATGCGAGTAAATGCTTCAAAAGTGGTAGAAAAAGCAAATGCCATGCTTTATTCATACAAACATATGGTATCATTTGTACTTTATGAACTTTAATAAATGCAGTAGTTTTTGCGCAGAATTATTTTGCTTTATAATTTCAAGGTTGCCCCAACCCAGCCTTGTAAATGACAAGTGCATATTTGAAATCTGAAGCATTTACTCCTTTTTATTCATACGAAACGAAGAAAACGATTATTAGGCCAAAAAAAGGCTCTGGTTTCTGGTATGCGCGCGCGTCGCCATAGCCATGCGCGTCGGCAATGTAAGATGATGTCTTTCAATGTAAGATGATGTCTCAAACCACCAAACTCACTGGTTCGACTGGAATCCTGCTGCTGCACAATTTTAACGTGTTATTTCTCATAAAGTTATTTCTCATGTCTAAGTTTATTTCAAGCATGAAGAACAAAGGAAAATGGATGTTAAATACAGTTTTTCTGAGTTTTTTTATTTTTTGCACTCCCCTTTTGGAAAAATCAAGCTCCGCCCCCAAAATTGTGCAAGATCCAAGATGTGTTCACCTCTTAAAATTATTTTCAGCCCATTTTAACTGGCCAATTTTCAGGATTTTACTACCAAACCGAATAATGTTTTCCATATTAGAACCAAACTGCTAATATATACCGCCTCTTTTGTACATTTAGGCCACGCCCACAAAATGGGTGGAAATTAACTGGTGTTCGAATGCTAGAATGTTATATTTTATGTTTAAGTTTATTTCAAACCATAGAAAAACAAGGAAAATGGATGTTAAATACGATTTTTATGAGTTTGTATTGTTTGCACCCCCTTTTAAAAAAAAAATCAAGCTCCGCCACCAAAATGGGCAAGATCCAGGATGGGTCCCGATCTTAAAATGAATTCTAGCCCATTTGGACCCAACCTGCCAAATTTCATGCTTTTACCACAAAGTGCACGATTTGGGCCAAAAATTGACCTAAGCAGCTCCACTATTAGCCTATAAACCAGCATTGTGATTGAGATGATAATAATCAGTGGCGTATCCAATGGAGGCAGGGGCAGAGGGGGCAGTCTGCCCCCCTGGTGGATTTTTGTCACAATTTTTTTGTTTTTGTTCAGCAATTATTTCAATAAATGGTTAAAGAGTTTTGACATCAATCCCCGAAACGAAACTCCCCTCAAAAAGCATTACAATGCGCCGTGAAAATGGATATAATTTGCAGTATGCATAATAATGGACATTTTGAAAGAGCGCCCCCATTTGGAAGGTGGGTACTAGGCCCCCCCCCCCCCCTTCGCTTTTTGATTTTACGGAGGTAAGTGTCCGGAGAAAAAAAATGTCTACATTTCGGCGCAGATGTGTGGTTGCCCCCCCCCCCCCCCCCCGACATCCCAAGCTGGATATGCTACTGAAAATAATAATAATAATAATACATTCTTATATTGCGCATTACATCAAAAGAAATATCTCAATGCGCTTTACAAAATTAATCGCATAAAAAAGTCATAATAGTACATTAAAAAGCTCATTAAAAATGAGCAATTAAAAGTGATCAAGTCCATCACAAGTTAATCACAATTCAATGCAGTTCAGTCCGTTCACAGGTAAAAGTGGGCCTTATCATCATGGCATCGCCCAGCACGCTATCACTTGCCCCCTCACAATAAGTCACGTTATTCAAAAATCTCGAACAATATAATTAGGTGTGGAAAAGTCGGGTGCTCACAATAATGCGAATTATTATTTGTTTTCATTCATTCATTCATTCTTTATTATTTTTACCACATCTCATTTCATGAAGTGACAAGGCATAAATACATACATGTAGTTTTAGATATTAAAAAATTAGAACTGATTTTACAAAATATATTTATACACTTTGGGCACATTATTTTCAAATTCGAGATGATGGAAGGGGATCCCCAAAAAGCGGAGCTTGTCGAGTAGGGATCCCCTTTAACATTGAGTGAAAAACAAATGAAAAACAATTGAACATGTAAATTGTAAATTGTACATAACACATGGAAAAACGTTTAAAACCAATAATATTCCTGATCAGAAAAAAAAGAAATATGGAGTAGTAACCCAGTAAGGGACTGTGACCATTCAGCCCTGGTATGAAATGGGCCCCCCGGTACCTCGTCCGGTCCAGAGCCAGTCCGGTCTTCAGCCTAGTCTCATCTGGTACATGGTCCTGTCTGACCAGAAGTTTTGAAATCAGTCAGGCGCATCAATTTATTGCCCTTCAGAGAACGTCCAGAGCAGAACAATAGCAGATTTACCGGATTAAAGATAAAATCCTTCCGAACGCCTTTTTTAATTTACGGTCCCATTGTGCGCGAAACTGCATGGCAGGGGTTTTGATCTGTGCCGACGAAAGTGTTCTATTGTTTCGCACTGAGAGATGAAAACCACAAGCAGGTTTCTTCTGGGATATATTACATGTGTCAATACTTGCAAACAATAGACCCCAGGATAGAGGAGTTCCTGATTAGCAACCAGACCAGCTCTTAGGCCGATAGCTGGGACGGTAGGAAAGGACTTCTTGGGAGGGGACGAGCTTACCGGGGGGCCCTTTTCATACCGGGGCTGAATGGTCACGGTCCCTAAGAAGATTAGTCTGAGGTATTATAATTTGATAGTAAATGTGATTTAAGTTTGAATTTAAATAATGGAAGGCTATGAATGCCCTGAAGTGATTTATGTAAGGACTTCCAGTACTTAGGTAACCAGTATCATATACAATGTACACTCAACCCAAACACTGTCATGCATCACCACATCTCCAGCAATTACACTGGTTACTTTTACACTGGTTTTGAATGCAGTTTCTTTGCAACGGACCGAAACGATTTATCACGGTGTTAGATGACTTCAAAATCAGGCTGCTCGTATCATATATACACTCAACCCAAACACTGCCACGCATCACCGCTTCTTCAACAATTACACTGGTTACCTTTCCAAAAAAGCATCATCTACAAAACAGCAATAGATATATGTACAAAGCACTATCAAATACACATCCAAAATACGTAACAGATTCACTAGACCTCAGCACGCCGAACCGAAGAGGCCTCCGCTCAGAGCGAAACTTAAAAATACAACGCACATTCAAACACGCAGGTGAAAAGGCTTTTTCTGTAGCAGGACCTACGGTAGATGCTGGTACTCACTCCCTCTCAATATCCGTCATTGTAAATCCATCCACCAGTTCAAAAGTAAACTCAAATCATATCTATTTTCATTTTAATTGTACTCCTATTGTTCATTTTTTTTCTAGGTTTCATTTGTTGTACTTTCTGGAGTTGTTCTTTTGTAGCGCATTGCAACCTTTTTATGTGCTTTGAAAATGCTTGTACATATTATTATTATAACTATTATGAAAAGATGCATATTTTATGCAATTTGTAATGTTTATACTAATCCAACATACAGTATTACATGTACACTAAATATGTCAACAAGCATTTTGAAAACTGAAAATTGTTCTTGAGGATTGGACAACATTATTCACACTTGAATATGTAATACTTCATGGGTCTCAACACTTCCTGTGTGAAGCTCATGGTGTTACTACAAGTAGGGAATTTGAATTCCTGTAAATAAATTAGACACACAGTGCCAAGTTGGTACCAGTATAATTGTTTTTTCTATGCATGATAATATTCCCGTTACTTTTCCGCTGTTCAGGTTAAAGAATGTAACCCGTGGCTATTGGGGTGTGGCTAAGCTCTTTGCTCATCGAGGAATCATTGATGAGATAACAAAGCTGGATCGGCTGACAACGGATCTTGGGAGAAGTAAGTCCAGAAGAATTCATTGCTCTCTTCAATTACACAGCCATGGTGTGTGCGTCGGGGAGATGTTATTGGTTTTGCCTTTGTCGGAGTATTTTACAAACACTGTATGCTCAGTGTTGTCCGAAGGCTTGCGAGAAAAATTCACAAGCTTACTCGGGTGGGACTCGAACCCACGACCTCCTGCTTACTACTGCAGATGTCTTGACCACCATGCTTGCCGGAGTCAGTTGGCCGGTTCAAGTCTGATGTAGCACTGGATACCACAACCAAACTGTTTATGAGATGGAATTTGCGTCGGTGAGATGTTTTTTATTGTAAATTTTATATTGTTCTCTGCATTTCATCAGGTCGGGCGTGGCTGTACAAATCACTGAATGACACATCGTTGGAGAGTTATCTAAGATGCTTCCAGGAGAATCCAAGCACGATGAGGAAGTACTATGTAGAGTAAGTAAACTCAAATTGCCATCTTTTTAGTTGCTATGCCATCATCAAATGCCTGAGTTGGAAACAGGTGTATTTCTGTCTCAGAGAGCTCGCAAACAGGTGCCTAGCTTGGCCAATGATTGCACCTACATTTACTGCTGCCAAAGTCAACATGCTTCAAATAATTTACATTGTACCTGGGGTAAGGGTTTCTTAAGTTAGCAAAAAATAATGAGCTGTCTTTTATTTTAAAATTTGGATCCCAACAGCCTTTTTTTTAGAATAATTTACTAATTACAGGAGTTCCTATTCTGAGAGCCTCGTCTTCAATTCTAAGTTAAAATCCCATTTCTACCTTTGCTGTTTTGAAGATGAGGGGAAACATAAAGCATTAATCCAACCATTCTACTTATTTTGTAAACTTTGATTTTTCTGTCACAGGACGGGGATGCTGAGGGACAAGCAGAGGGTGATGGTACTACAGACTCTCATTGCTGGCCTGGACTATGTGACCTTTGACCTTGAAATAGTGAGTAAAGCATTGAGGATGAGTTTTCCAAAACTAGGCTTTATCTCCAGCTTTGTCTTCATGCTCAGGCTCATTATCCTTGCCTCAAACAAAGACTGATTTTATAGCTGCAGTAATATCAAATGTTGTAATATGAGACCATTGTATTTGTTACGGTCGTAACGTGAATACGTGTTGTCTTTTATGAGTCAGGAGTCAGAGCTGAGGCTATGTTATAAAAAATGATGATGAGGTAGTATAGGCATGTGTTGAATAGGTGTTAAATTGGATGTGTGGATCAAGTCCACTTGAACACAAGCGCATGTCCAGTATACACACCTGTTTATCTACCTCCTTAGCAGGTGCTTTGGCCCAGTCTCCTATGGATATCTATCCATTGTGTTAGCCTGTCACTATTGTAAATCCCAACTTTTGGACGCATGTTTATATAAATTATTTAGACCTTGCCCTGTCTTTTATGTTCCACTGTTCTTTGTGGCCATCTGTTGTATTGCATCGTACAAAAGTTTTATGCTTGTAAGAAAAGGTAAAACTAATGTTTTTTAGGTATTTTTATGGATAAGGCCAAAAAAAAAAATAAGTCGGTCTCTGGTCAGCGCGCGCGTCGAGTTTAAGCATGCGCGTCGATCTTTTTTTTTTCCAAAATGTTCCGCGGTAGCTCCAACAGCGCCCTCTATTTCCGCACCTCCTCAATTTTTTTTTACCAAAGAGCACCAAGGAATGGGAAATTGCACCAACGCAAATAATCAAAAGCACCAGGGCAAATTATGGAGGACACCAATGTACATGAGGACACCAAAAAAAGCAAAACAGTACCCACCTTGTCTGTACAATCCAAGCTGAAGAAAAGAAAAAAAAAAGGAAAAAAAAAAAAAAGCCGCGTGGCCGCGTCAATTCCGGAACTTTGGTCTGACCAGAGACCGAATATTTTTTTTTTTTGGCCTAACAGTCAATTGTTTTTCCATGAAGATGAAGCATTTTTGTCAACAATTTTTCTTTCCAGAACATTGCCTATTTTGATCTGGTCAGCTACATCCCTCGCTCGGCCTCCGTATCTGAACCCGAAGATGACACCACAACTCCATCCAACGACAGCGTACCCACTACTCCCGGTACCCCAGCGACCATCCCCGATAGTGTCTCTTCCATTGCAAGCTCCGAGCCGTTCTCACCAATGGATGAATCTCCCCAATCAGATATCAGAATCCCAAATATTGTCATTAAGAACAGATCAGACATTGAAAAGCGACACTCCTTCCCACAACACTATTCTGAAATTGATGAGAACGTTCCTCCACTAGTTGAGACCCCTCCACCAGAGGACAAAGGAATGGGGAAAGTACCTGGAGACAAGTTTTTCAACAGATCTTTCAGCGCGGGGAAAATCATCGAAGGGAAGCCGACAAGGCCGTCTTCCCTGGGTGTTCCATTTCGCAATGAGAGATCCTTGAGTTCAGATGCATCGTTTAAATCTGTGGAGGAAGGTTTTGAAGGCAGCGATCTGGAAGTCATCCGGGTCAAGACCAAGAAGACCAAGAAAGGTCACAAGAAGAAGAAGAGGGGAGACCGAACGTCACTGGATGGAGACAAGCTGTCCAGAAACGGAAGCTCTGGCACACTGAGCTCAATGTGTGATGACATTGAGACACCTAGTCCAAGGTTGGAAACTCAAGCAGGAGACTCCATATCAAAATCTAGCTCTTACTCTTCCCTGCACAGTTTCTCAGACCGGGCATCGTGGAATGAGGCTGCCATCCTGGGCAAATCAGATGCCGACAGCTTAAGTGGAATCAGTTTTGAAGTGAAGACTGACAATCAACAAGATAAACACACACCGAATGAGCAGTGTGATGAGATGGATGGCATGACAGATCTGAAGAAACTTATTAAGGATATGAATGAGAAGACGACTAACTTGAGGCTAGAAATAGGCCAGACCAAAGACACGAACGACTCGCCTCAACTGAGCCACACAAAAGATGATTCCGATTTTGAGCCTCGTTCATTTGACAGCGATTCAGCATTACCAAACAGTTCTAATCTTGCCAAGTTCCAACCTGAAATCATACGTCCAGACGTGAAGCCTGATCTAGCCCCTGCCTCAAGAGCAAGTCTGAACTTTGATGAAACGGTGACAATGACTCTAGGTACTACTCAAGCATCAAGCCAAGGAGATCCTCCGCCATCGCAAGCCCTGCCCGATCTGATCCAGAAGAAGGATAGTCAATCAGATCTCGATACCTCTCTGACTACCGTGCCCTCGGAGACAGTAACCAGTTTTGCCAGTCTATTCGCTAAGCCCGCATCACCAACTTCCATGAGTCCTGAGGACCCCCTTCCCCTCCCATCGCCTAGCTCCTCCTCCTGTTCGGCCTCAGACATCTCGGCCAATCCGAGCGAGGAAGGATTGAATGAGACAAGCGGTAGTAGCGGTAAAGGAGTGAGGTCATCTTCAGATGCTAGCTCCTCATTCAAGGAATCCATGGAGGCAGATGAGGGCACCAGTGATGTTGCCAAGGAAACAGCGACCATGGCAGCATTGGACGTGGGCAGTGAAAGTCATGAAGCAGAGATCGAGTGAGTGAACAATTGGAAAGTAGTTGTCAGTTTTTAGATGTCAGTTTTGGAAAGTTTTTAGAAACTTTATTGACACTTTGTTTCAAATCACCACTTGTAGAGAGATCTCTTTTTTAAGCAGTTGCTTGAAGATGTTTGTAAAAATTAATCCTGAATTGTTTTTCATCTATCTGCAGAGTGGACAACAACCTCAAGCTGTATTTGATGCTGGAAATCTTTAAGAAGGAACACGAAGAATTTAAGAAGGTATGTATGTCTGAATCAGAGGAATCGTTCAACTTGATATCATCATTGGTTTCCTTTGCATTCTCATTAATAATGATAATAATACTAGAGTCTTATATAGCGCACATATCTACCAACATTTAGGTACTCAAGGCGCTGGCAATTATGTCTATTTTTAAAGACAGGTAAATTAAGTTATATGAAAAAAATATGCCACCCATTATGTAGCACCTTTATAAGGGTTTACAAGGTGCTCTGGCGCATATTGCAGCCACTGCCAGAAACACCAGGGCAAACCCCTTCTCCTATCGATAAGTGTTACTGGGTTCTTTAACGTGCATTACACAATACACTTACATCAAGCTTTCATCTTACTCACTGATCTTGTCATCCTTCTAACTAATGTCTTAGTTGAGAATTCTGTTTCCTCCACACCTCTTCTCCTTAACCATCCTTCGTTTTCTGTCTATTCTCCTCAGTTGATTCGTATGAGTACTGGTCACATGGAAGGTGATTTGCAACCAGCTTTCATCTTACTCACTGATCAAATGTTGTACATCCTGAGACGAGGCGATAAGCAAGGTCACTACTCAACTCAGCAGAGATTGCCATATACCACGCTAGATTACATCTCGGTAAGCTTAACCAATAGATAATATCAGTGGATGTCTGAAAATCCTAGCTCTCGATGTCGAGTGTTCGACCTTGATAGATCTTCTTCGCAGGCCAGTGTTGGTACTGCTACATTGTTCAATCGTAGACCTTTTTCAACTAAATGTTGTGTTCATTTCCAGTATTCAAGTTGGTTTGAGGTCCCAAGCCGTTGAGATTGAGTATTTTCGGATAATCTAGTATTAGATTATTCTAACTTGGACTTGATCTAATATTCAAATATTCAAAAAGTGCTGATCAAATTTTACATGCACCGGCCTAAACTGGCCGCCAATCTCGATTTGCTTGTGCCTGCACTTTTAAAAAAAAACTGACAAAGAGCTTATCAAAATATTATTAATAACATCATGCACATGTATGTATTGATATGCTTTTTCATGGTAGCAAACGTACTGGCTAATACTTGACAGATTTTAATATCCAATTTGAGCCACATTCCTCACAGAAACTCTCAAATCACGTGTTAAAAGTAGCTTTCCACAAATGAATTGCATTTGACAAAAAAAACTAAGACCACGCAACTTATATGATGAAAACAACATTGTGGACACTTTTCATCATTCGTACAAGACTGCTCACATTGTTCGAATATCTGAATCAAAAAAATGTTATTCAAAATATTTGGTGGATGATTGATAGAATATTTGGTATATTCGACACAGCCCAATCAATTGTAGTGCATAGCCTTTGTTCCCATTATGTTTCACTCTACTTTTTGTCACTAAATACCTTGTAACGATTGTTTGAACAGAATGATATTGTTGCAATATTCTGACAGGTCGGTCTGAACTATCAGACCATTCAGGTTGTCTGTACTAACAGGAGAAGGCAGTACTGGCTGACAACTGGAGACGAATCACTCACAAGGTAATCACAGACTCTTAATTAACCCTCCCTCTCTGGCTGGCAATTGCAACAAGGCCAGCCCAGCAGTCACAATAAATCAAGTGACTGTTTTCAACAGTTGAGTGCCCCCTGCCTTCATAAAGCAGGATTGACTGGCTGTGATTGTTATGAAACCTGATATAGCTATGCTTTGACTGTAGGAGATTGATACGCCAGCTGTGCCTACCAGTCACCTGCTTTTGTCTGTTGATGGAATTTGACTGTCACAGTGCCTATTGAAATATGGTCTGACTGTTGGTGACTAGCCTGTGTAAAAGGCATGGCAGGGGAACAGGATTGGATTTTGACTGTGTGTGACTGATCAAACAAAAGGAGGGTTAATATTTATGTCCACCAGCATTGTGGTTGAGTCCATCGCAAGTCCCGTAATAAATAAATCATGAGTCCATTCGCAAGTCCAGTCGAAGTAACAGGGGTTGAACAATAACAAAGGAATGCCTCTGTCACAGTTAATAGAAGTTTGTGAGTTGACTTGGGATTTACTTGTTTCAGACTTGTTAGGACTCGTGATAGATTCAGCTACAACCCTGCTTTTCAGCTGCCAATCCACTCCGTAGAATGGCAATCTAATGTCAATGACTCATTCTCATTTCCCTGTAGGTTCTTCCTGTCCTCCCTGAAACATATCATGGAGGAAAGTCAACTAACCAAGGAATCAATCAGCATCTTGACAGATGCTACAGCTCAGATGATAATGCTGAGAAAGTGGGCCGCACAGGAAAGCAAGACTGAAGTAATTCTCTGTTTATTTGGATTTTTTTCTAATCTCTGTTATTTTAATTAAATCAATCAATCAAAGATGAAGGAACTCACGCTTGTAAACCTGCTGACTAACGCACTGTCTGCCCGCTTTTCTCCAATCCCTTTTGGTTGTCTTGTGGGTACCGTGCACAGTTACCTCCTTTCATAGAGAGGGTTGGGAGAGTCAACTTGGTAAGATTCTTGAACACATTACGGCAACGGTGCGATACATTACCATGAAGATGTTACAGATTTGTACACGCTCTGAATAAAATAAGTTGTGCTTACTTTGCGCATTGTCTCTGCCACTAGAGCTCTGGCAAGTGGTGACAAACACCATCTACAACAGAGACATCAGAGACGATATCCAGTAGGACTTGACTCACTAGTTGAACTGTGTGTTGTTTGAAGGTGTTTGTGATAAGCTGGCCAGTGTGTGATAATAAGCACTATCACTAAAATGTTTTCCATCTTGCTTACAAGCATTGCTGTGTATGCCCTGTCAATCAAAAACGTTTGTGCTTCCAAGTTATCGTGTGTTCATTCCAATATGCACTCACGTTTAGCAACGTATGTTCTTTTTTTCCTGTGAGCAAGATGGCGCCTTTTTACCATAAATGTGTTAATTGTAACAATGTCAGTTGTTATATTAAATCACAAACATCACATGCTCTCTCTGTCTCTCAGATGCAAAATATCAAGCTCCACCTGTACTCCCTAGTCCACTGGGAGGACCTGACTGACCTCTCCATGACCCCTGACCTCCAGCTCTATGAACCCCAGGTCACACGCAAAGGCTACCTCCATTACAAGGTCCCTGGCAATTTCCTTAAAGGAAACTCATGGAAGAAGGCATGGTTTGCTCTGAGGAATGAGATGTTCTGTCGGTTTCTCCAACGGAAAGACCAGCAGCCTGATCTTAGCGTACAGCTCAGGTGAGATATGTGACCTTTGAACTCTGTTCCTATCCAGTTTGTGCCTGGTCTTTTGAGGGCGCTGTTGCAAAATGGGGATGGGGCTCCATGTTTTGAATACTTAATCCATGTAATGTATGCTTAGAAATGACTTCTTGTTTTTCACCAACAGAACGCCGTATTTTGGCGGCTGCCGACGGGTGAGAAATGGAGATCGCCCTCACAGTTTTGAATTGATCTTATCTGACGGAGCATCGCTAGAGTTGGCATGTGACAAGGAGGAGCAGGTTTCTGATTGGCTACAGGCAATATGTCAGGTCGTAGCACAAGCGGTAAGCTCACAGATTCAGCTACCAACTTCAAGAATATCAAAATGCTCGGACTCGAGACACAACTCTGTTTAAGGACCTGGGGGGGGGGGGGGTTATCAAGTAATTTAGTCTTGGCTTTCAAGAAGACTTGTTCAAAAGTAGTCCATAACATCTACATGTATGTTTCTGAATTGGTGGTTTCAGTTTTCTCTCATTACTTGAGATTTTAGTTGTTTTCACTTGAGTACTCCATAAAGTACGTTTACTCTGAGGACCAAGTACTCATACTTGTACTCGAGGTCCGAGTACTCGGACTCAGCTTCACAAAACTTGTACTCCAAGGTCCAAGTACTTGGACTCGGGTACCTGTCTTGTGCTCAAGGGTCAAAGTACTCGGATGCGGGTGGTACTCGATAGCCTTGGTACTCGGCAGTACTTTGTACTCGGATAAAAGTCCTCGACTACAACACTGCAAAGAGATAATGAACAATTTATATATCTGTATTTGTATATTCCCATACAGCAAGTTGCGGCTACCAGTCCCACCCACACTCCGTCCCCCTGCCAGCCCTGCTGTTCAGTCATTACCTCTCATAAACTCCTCATCTGCCATGAGGATTGTCAGACTAACTTCTATCGTCTACTGGCTGGGGTTGATATCACCGACATCTCAGGATTGACGCATGATCCACAGGATGGGACTTATGTCATTGTTGTAAGTGCTTACAGTCCATCACAATACCATCACAGGTCCATCACAAGACCATGAAAAGTCCATCACAGGTCCATCACAAGACCATGAAAAGTCCATCACAAGTCCATCACAAGTCCATCACAAGTCCATCACAAGACCATGAAAAGTCCATCACAGGTCCATCCCAAGTCCATCACAAGACCATGACAAGTCCATCACAAGTCCATCACATGTCCATCACAAGTCCATCACAACTCCATCACATGTCCATCACAAGTCCATGACAAGTCCATCACAAGTCCATCACAAGTGCATCACAAGTCGATCACATGTTCATGACAAGTCCATCACAAGTCCTCACAAGTCATCTACATGTATTCCAAAATCAATTCGGTATTGCTGGTCTTTTGTTTGCAGGAGTTTCAGTCCGAGTGTGCTCAGAACCCCTGGGTGTTTTACTTCAATAGTGTCCAGGAAAAAGCCAAGTTTGAATCCACGTTGAACAGTGCTTGGAAGGAACAGTTACAGGTTAGTATGCTTGGAAAATTGCCTGACGATTGGTCTTATTACTCCTTAAAGACACTTGTTCTGTTATTTCACTGCAATCATTCAAAGTTGGTGATAGATTTTAGCCTTGACTTTTATGAGCATACATTGCTGTCTTTCGTGAAAGATACTCAAGAGCACCATATAAACTAGTGAAATATTATCAGTGTTAGATTAGAGTCTCCAAATGTTTGTGTTTCTTCTTATTGAGGTCTGCACTTGCTGTCTCTGGGTGCCATCCATAGAGCTATATTAAATTACTAGAGCGCTTACTCCTCATTCTTGTATGCAGAGACGCTTTGAAGCCATCCTGGGCGCAGACATTTTGAATTCAAGTGCGTGTTTGTAGATAGTGAAAGTAGATGGATTGAATTTTGAAAGTGTACTCCAAATGCAACACGCATGTAGAACGTACCCAAACAACTTAAGCTCGTCAAGACGCTTTTAAAAAGAAAACACGTCGCGGCTTATCATCTACAGCGGATATGCACACGCGTTGTGCTGATTTCGTAGAGCAAAATGACACGCTCATTTGCTGATCGTGCATTTCAGTTTTGGGCGTATTGGCTTCGATAACGCACCGGTATGGAATACAAACGCAGATATGCAAATAGCCGTACAAAAGCCGTACAAATTTCGAACTTTCCGTAGGTTTGTGCACAAACATGGATGCGCCCAGCAGGCATCACTTTGTACATGAGTCAGCGCTCTGGTAATTTAATATAGGCCTATTGTTATCAAGTTATATGTTGCTAAAGTCAGCTGTTTTGGGCAGATTGGTCTAAAGAAAGCTGCAGTACGTTGTTGATATCCAATGTCCACGTCTCTGTTAGTCCTTCTGTGTCATTTGTGTTTGTAATTAATGTAAAAGAAACTTTTGGTCAACGCCAATTTTTGGTCAACGCCAATAGTAGAGTCAGAAATACCTTGTATCAATATTTTTCTGAATGTTCCCAAATTTCTCAACCTCCTTATTAAATTATATTCTTCTGATTTATTTACGCAAAACTCCTTTGGCTACTCTAAAAAATTTAATTGGGAAATATTTCCACTCTATTTGTTGGTACTCACCTTCAGGGTCATCGTTACCAGCCCTCGTGGGTTTCTTGAAGGCCCTCGCTCATAACATCCCCAAATATCCTTAATTATTGTCAGAGTGTTACTGTGAAGTTGAGTGGAAGAGGAAAACTAGGATCTATGGACAGAAACTCATGGAATCAGTTGGGAACTGAAAAACCCATTTTCAGTTCATCACCAGTCACAAATGTACATCTTTCAAAATTCCACATACAAGTAAATAACACATACACATACAAAGAAAGAGTTCATTTCCAGCCAAACGCGATGCTATTTCATTGCTCTTTTCATGCGGCGCGCACTCAATATTAGTTTGGAACTGAAAAACCCATTTTCAGTTCATCAAAGTTAGGGTAAAAGTAGGGTAAAGCATCAATGGAATCTCATTTGTCTTGTTTAATTCCAGGTTGATTTACCAGTAACGCCCATCGACGATGACCGCGTGCACAAGAGATGCTGTGAGTGCTCTGCTCTCATCCAGTCGTCATGGCAACGCAGTGATAGTCTAATGAGAGGTCGCATCGGAGGAAGTATCTGGTAAAATTGGGCCGTGCAAAAATAACAATTTAGTAATCATCTTTATTTGATTTTATGTAAGTAAATGAAAATCTTTTTGTTGTTTGCCCTTTTTATCGTAAATTAAGCAAAGATGAAGTTACTGTGAGGTCTGTAGTACTGCCTCAATATATCAATGTCGTCTAAGCTGCCAAATAATTCACTTGAGAATGTTAGGTAAAATATATGCGAAGATTAGGAACTGTTCAGGTTCTCATTGTGAAATGGATCATTCAAAATTGAAAATGTACGTGTATTAATAAGTGTAAATACAGTGATTTATGATTGATAAGCACCAATCTAAACGAGAAATTCAAAAGATATATATTCACTCACACCGTATTGTAACAATATGCAAGTTGTCCTGCATTGTAACTGTCAAATGTTGACTCCGTGTGGAATACTGAGGCTTGTTAAAAGCCTACTGTCAGATTTGAGAGATAATGGGCTCCGTGCACTAACTGAGAGGGCGCTCTTTTACCAATTTTGAGAGCCCATTGGACGGGACACACCAGGTGATCGTACTGATTTGCGCATATATAGGGCAAAGTAAGTACTACTGATGTTATTCTGAATGTACAAGGCAATAGCATCTTCGCATGAGCGTCAAGCGTCGTCAGCAATGCGTTCCAATCTCTCTCCCAGTGGTCTCCCCCAACTCTCCCTTTCTTACCGTTGAGGGGGTACTTGTGCACGGAACCTACATTGTCACTACCGTGAGATATTAATGAGAAAAAAAATTGAGAAACGTGTGATATTTCTCTGTGTTGCACTTACACCAAGATATAAAAAATATGTTTATGTGCTTTAAAAAACACTTTAATTTGCTCTACTACTGACACAGAAAACTTGCTTGAAAACTTCTTTGAGATCTTAATTGATACTCCAAATGGGAAGACTTTTAATTTTCCTTTTATATAGCCAGAAAGTAAATGTTTCTTTACATGAAATACTTAATGAAGTGCAATACAAATATCAAATATGTTCAATCAATGCTTCCTACTACCTGAACTAAAATGCAATTTTTGTTTTATATATACATGTACCGAACTTTGTCTAATTTGGGTTATACTTTTTTATAGCATTACTTAATATAATTTTCTTCTTCAAATTAAATTAGTATAATTAATTATTTTTCATATGCTTTAAACTGTAAATTTGTACTAATATTTCCAGTATTACATCAAAGTTGTTCATGAGATTGCTTGGAATTTAAACGACAAGGAACACAATCATTGTTTCTTTGTTTAAAAAAATACAGTGATTTAAAAAGCTGCCCAGTTGTTGAAAAAAATGTGAACACGTTTAAAATGTCCATCGCGTGGCTTGATGTAACTCATAAATTGAGTAAGTTTAGCTTAATGTGTATTAAAGCACTTTATGATAAATGCCATATCATGACAAGCAGCCAATTGACTCAATACACAGAAAATGCCTATAATTCAATGTTAAAGATTTTATTGATAGTGTGGCTTCTGAGATATCATAGAAGTGAACACAGATGCTGTAAGCATTGATTCGTGGGTACTGGTGGGGCTAAGTGTTTGGGGGAGGCTTATTGGTATTTCAGAGAGAATGTAGAATCCAGACGCCACTTCTTTGGTTGTGTACAAAATGTATGTTGAATGAGTGCATTTTCGAAGTATTTTTTAACATAATTGGAAATGTTTCTCAGTCCCAGATTCATGTCAGTTCAACATTTTTGCAATGACTGACCTTCAGTGAAATGATCTATGATGAAAAAAGCGGCGTCAGGATGCAATATTCTTTCGATATTTCCATCAGGCATGGTTGGTTTTTAATGCAATGAGGGGCAAATTGAGCCCCAAACCCAGTACCTTAAACATGTATTTGTCCTGCTTTATCCCATTCGCTCCTGTTCAATCAAACATCGTGATGAAGCTGTCATGCTATCTTATTGCAACTCTTTCCAAACGAAATCGAATCTGACTTTCAGAATGAAATAGCGTTTTAGTCCTAGCCTATGAAGTTAATGTTTCAGGCAAAATGTGACCGTAAAAATGTATTTATTCGATCAAATTGAAAATAATTTTCTCCCATAAAAGTCGTATATGTACATGTAATGAGCCAAATTGAAGTGCATTGTTGACTGTCTGTCTTGTCTAGGGGAGGGGGGAGGGATCCAGGGGGTTGGATCAACAGCCTTCACAAGAGAACAATTCGGACTTCTTAAAACTTTTGAGGTCAATAATATATAATAATAATAATCAGGGCACTTATGTAGCGTTCTTACACAAACTGGTATCACAACGCTTTACACGATCTGAGCCAGTTGACTGGTCAGTTAGCACCGATGAGTATTGTGAGTCTGCTTCGTCTTGTGTAGCATTTCGTGTATACTGGCTGAAGTTTGTCTAGACCACAGACGAGTCCTGGTGCGCGATTACTGTACTAAGGCCCCCTTCAATGGCGAAAGCACTGCTCAAGCTATTGTACCAAGTAACTTCTCAGTGACTGATTATCGGAACAATAGCTAGCACAATGCTTTCGCCATTGAAGGGGGCCTTCATGATAGAATTGACAGCGTGCTCGGATTGGTCTGTACTTGAAAATAAATGTACCCAAAGCTGTTGTGTGTAATCTGTGGTTTGCGTCCTTATCAGTGCCTAATAAACAAAAATGGCTTGAACATTTCTACGCGTGGTTGGTTTATTTGTTATGGATTTATATCTTGTATATTAAAATCTTCATTTTGTGATTCCTTGGCCATTATTAGTTCATGTAATAACCTCGAGGATGGTATATGCCTTGATGATGACAGCAGCTTGACGTGGAGGGCGCCATTCAGAAAGACCTTTCAGATTGCTTTCTCGCGGCCTGATATGAAGAAATTTTGTTAAGCAGACTGAAAGGTTGGACTTTTTTTGGTCCAAGATAAACATCCTGCATCATTATAAAGCACGTAAAAAAAAACCATTTGAATTAATACAGTTTTCATTCCGTATGAGTATATAGGTATAGATTTGTTGGGGAGAAATTATGTGGAAATGGGCCCAAGTCTTTTGGTAAGGTTGGGCGTGGCATGATGTGCGTGTCTGTAGTGGATCTGGCACAGTGCAAGATCAGAGTATTGCTGCAAATCACGTCATGAAAAGAATTATGTCCAAGTCAAGGTTTCGGTCACTATTTTTGGGTCATCTTTTACCCCTACGTTCAAGCATGCGCAGTGCTGTGACCCAAAGGAGCACAAGGAAAAAAGGTATAATTTCCTATTTTCTTACTTTAGCTTCTCAATTTAGGTTCTCAGTCATTATGCAAATCAAGCTTCCCAGCCACTTGGCAATGACACGATGTTTGATCATCACACTTCGGTAAAAGGATTCTATTTGCAGAATTTCTGTCGGATAAACAGGAATTCCCAATTCCCGTATCTTCCGCGGATGCGAGACGAACGGAGAAGAAAGCAACAAGCTTCCCCAACAGGGAAGAATCTTGCCCGATATCTTGGGAAATAAGATCTGAATTCATTCTGACGGACGGAAGACATTCACTCCGCGAAGTGTCCGCTTCAATTAATACAAAAATCATCGGCAGTCCAACAAACAAGCCTCCCCCTTTGATAATTGTAATTACTCCCGGCCAGTCGCACCGCTCGAACACGCAGGATGCTTTTAGACGAAATGATGTTCTTAGAAACCCAGAGAAAAATAGTCAGTTGTAATTGAGAGTAGCTGTATCACAGAGAATTACTTCCTGCGTTCCGTTCCGCGCGAGGAAATGCTTTTAACAAAACAATGAATTGGTCACAACATCCATTTCAGCTACATGTATATGTATCCTCTAATGTGATAATTTATCTAACAATGGCAGGGAAGCTATTATTTTCTCCACCCACACAATTTTGACCTATTTACGCCGCCCACTCCTTTCATTTACAAGAGAACACTTGTGTTTGGGGAACAATACATCACGCTCACATGCAACTTAAAAATAACCAAATACCACATTCGAACGCAGCTGCACTGTCTTCCTCATTTCCAAGCTAACACGATTGAAGTTTGTTTCAACAATTATTATTTTTGAAGTTTGTATTAAATAATATACAAAAAAAATATTGTCCATGAGAATACAAAATAAGGAAATGCTTCATTAAATAAAGGTATATAATCAACAAAAAAATGCTTCTTGACATTGCAAAACCATTCCAAAAGAATTAATACGTTTTACAATCATTTTAGTTCTGGTTCAGATTATTTTGCTCATTTGCGCCTGTACAAAGAAAGTTTGCCTTATATTTATCCTCGTCCCTATCAGTGTCAATTTTTAAGCAAACTGCTAGCTCGCAAGGGGTCATTCATTAACCCAAGCCAGAGAAAAATATTAATTGAGAAATATCCACCCATGTGTTACACCTTGCACATATTTCTGTCGGTAGGAATTTCACGGAAACAGCTGGATGTGTTCACTTGCTCGTTATCGTCCACTAATGCTACCCAGTCCCCAGATTTGCAATGTAAACCATAAAACTATGTGATCTAGTCAGGTGGCCAGGCTAAACTGTGTTTGCTTTAAAGGGACTACATCATTTTGTTCATCGGTTTTATAAATCCAGTTTGCGAGGAGTGCATGTGCAGTGGTTTTTACCATCAAAATCTGACAAGAGCGGATCAAGAACACAATTCTTTTTTTTGGGGGGGGGGGGGGCAAACAAAATTTTGGTCCCCAAAAAGGGTGTCCAAAAAAATTACGGCGTGGGGTTCGGGGCCCTTAAGCGGGCCCCGAAAAATGTTTGGATTCTAGATGCTCTGTGATGCAATCTGAGGCAATTTCTGACCACTTTAACCAATGTTTTTGAGGAAAAGATGGTAGTGTACTCATTGCCTGCCTTTATTGCGAAGTCACTTAAAAACAAAAATGGATTCGGTGGGGGTTTTTTTTGGGGGGGGGGGGCATGGCCCCCTTTAGTCCCCCCACCCCCCTCCCCGGATCCGCCCTTGAAATCTGAGAGGAATTCGTATCAGAGTTTGGAGAAGCTTGCCAAAATTATGTTTTAAGCGATTCTACTTACAAATTTATTATAAAAAAAAATCGCCAATCAGTGGCCGCAACTTGCTAAAAATACAAAAGTCCACTTGTTTTTAACCTGGGCGATACATTTCCTCACAATAAGCAAACAAAATTATGGCATTAAGAACTTCAGAGACAATATTCCTAGGCCTAGGATTATTGTCTCTGATAATGACACTCGGAGAGTTTACCTTGGTTTCTACATGGAGGCTAAAAGTCCACGGTTCCTATAGACCGTTTGCACTGCGGCCATGTGTGAGGTGTGTGCTTTTGTTCAACAGGGATACGCATGCGTAAACCTCTTATACATTCATTGTTAATGAATTAACATAACACCTAATGAATTAACATAACACACCTCAAAGATGGCTGCTGATCTGTTCTTTCAGACCAGTCTGACATTGACAAATGTTGCCAATTTACCATACCTAGGTAATCACACACACAGGGCCATTACGGATTGCTCTCCATTCTAGGCCGTAATACCCAATTTGCATATAACTAACTCCTGTTACGTTACACTATGCACCGAGTGCAGCTTATTCGCAGTTCAACTAAAGCCCACCATGTTGACTTTTCTCGCATTAAAAACTACGACTACTTTCAGCAGCAATTATGCATCTCGGAACAGAGGACCGTGTTTGAAGTGAATTCTGGCTTGGATATAACATCGTTGTCTGGAGGCCGATAGGTTGTGTATGATCAAGATAAATTAGATTCTGGTTGCTGTGTTTATCAATTACGTTTTCACACCGCACTAATGCTGCATGGGGCTATCGAAGAGTATGCACATAATTCACGCATAATAGACAAATGGTAAGTACGGATTGAGAGTTGGAACACCGAGTTCTCTTCTTTTAAAAAAAATTACAGCAGGATTGAAATACTAAATAAAATAAAAGGCGTCGCTTTGTTCAAGAGGTTTACTTTAATTTGTCACACGCACAGGGAAATTTTCCCGTGCAAAATTCGCCCCCAAACATTAATTTTTTACATATTGCATTGTTTTCTCTAATAAAAAAATACCCCTCCGGGCCCAGTCTCTGCAAGAATATTCTGAATTTGCAATATTTTTCTAACGAAAACGGGATCCGTATATTTTGTGAAGCTCACAGATCATAAACAAGGGAGAGGAAGTTTAAATATTTCTTATCGAGCAGAGACTAGGCCTACTATTTATTAGTTTGTTCATCTAGAAGGTAATTCTTTCTATAAAAATATTTGGTTATCAAAATATATAGATTGGTTGCAGCAAGCTTTGATTTGTGTGCTACAGGAATACACATGCGTATACCTCTTCACGGTGCATTCATTATTAAAGAATTAAGAAAACACACCTCATAGGCACAGTGGTAAAGACACGGGTATAGGCATAGGCCTACACTCTAAAAACTGTGTTTAGCAATTATAAACACTATCTTGCTATCAATTTGTAAACATGTTTAGATGCTAAACATCACGTGTCCAATTCCTAAACATTAGTGTTCACTAGCTAAACACAGTCCATCCTTACGCTAAACATGTTTAGTATTTAAACATGTTTATAAACTGATAGCAAGAAAGTGTTTAGAAAAGTGTTTAATTGCCAAACACAGTTTTTGCAGTGTAATTTTCATGAAACGTTTTCAACGTTTTTCCTTTGGTTTGAGTAGCCTTTAAATGAACCAAAATAAAAGTCCACTGAGCTAAATCAAGTGTGAACCACCTGTTAAAATCGAAAGTCTCTAGGTACGGAGTCTAGCGATACGTGACCTTTGACCTTTGAATTATTCTCAAGCCCATTCAGGATTGATCCTTCGCCTCGCCGACTAATGAACTGTCAGATATCGGGCAAGCATCAGTTAAAAACAGACATTCACCATTGGCAATTAATAAATGACTTGGTGGGGTTGTGCGCTGTGTTAATGCATTTCCGCCTCTGTGTTTGCTATCTACCGTAGATAAGACCCGACCTGCACTGAGTGAATGGACGTAGTTCAATTGGGTCACCGCTGTCGGTCAGGTGCTGTTTCGTGCATGTGCTCAGCATAATACAACCACTGCAACCCAGGTAGGTATCAGCCATATATAATGCACCGTATCGTAGAGACAATCAATGATTACAAGCACGTTGCATTTAAGGTAAGATCTCACTCTGTTTAATTACATTGCAGCGTGCATAAACGCTGTAATGCGATTCACTTTCATTTTCTGGTACCACGTTTATGGCAGGATTCACGTAGTTATAAAATGAAGAATTTAAAGTATATGTGAATTTATCTTACGTGTCTAGGAGTAATTTTCATTTAATTAAAAAGGAGTTTTATATTCATATAATGTGTTATCAATTGTAGAACGGTTTGCTAATCAACGGATACATTACCATGCTGTAACATGTTTGACACAACGGCATGTTTTTACAGGTGATTTCGATCATTGATACAGCATCATATGTGGCCTATCGTGAATAATCATTGCAAGCTACACGGTCATTTGTAATTCCAATGAATATGTGCGTACGTGCCGCTCAGATTCTATACACTTTCAACATATTGATCGCAGGTTAACAAAATAGTCTTATTTATAATTTTCTCTAGACATCCCATTTTGCTTGACTTGTTTAGCTCTCCAAATTATTAATTGGATTTCCCGCTTTTCAGATAACCTGTCCCGATTTAGCACCTTTTTTTTAAGTACAGTGAATGTATAACAAAAATTGAAGAAAAAAAATATTCCAAGGAATTTTGAGTGATAGTATTCACAAAATAACATTGACTATCATTCTTGTATTTTTATGCCGAAAACGATTGGTTAATAAGGAAGGCATACTCCATTTGAGTAGCATGCAATGTAATGTTTGGTGTGGCATGGTGTGGCATGGACGCTACCAAAACATTGTAGATGCTGATAAGCCAACAAAATATCTGGGCCAAAGTTTTGTCTGTCCTCAAGCAAACACCTTATTACTGATGTATTCATCTTCGTCTGCCTATTTTTGCACTTTACTTTATGGCAAAGTATTATCATGATATATGGTATGATGCAATAAAAATCGGAGGAAATTAACACCAGAATCGTGCGCGAATCATTCATCAAGTGACTGATGCGAGACGGAGGCGTTCGAAAATACTCTTGGAATCCATAAACAAGCACGCCTCATTAATTCACGACCAGACGAGATAACTGGGGCAAAAATTACTCAGCGGTAACCCGACATTCATCAGCATAATGACATATTTTATTGAGCTGCATAAATAATACCATCCGTTGAAAAGGGACATGATGTTTACGACTCATTTCTGTTTCAATTATTAAACTCTTTCATCATATGATGCCGACTGTCTCCATGCTGCATTACATTTGTAGCATGTTTCTTAGCAACATTCATGCTTCGGTGTACATAATGAGTGAATTATATTTAATGATCATTCATCGGTCATTTCTGAAAAGTTTTAACGAGCCTTAGCAAGTTATACCATCCGTCACAAAGCTACGGATACGGCTGATATACTTTTAATATAGATCATGTCTGGCAGTATTCAGGCTTCATTACATTTGTCTCATGTCTCTTAGCAACATTGATGATTCGATGATGGCCAACATCAGTGAATCATTTATTACTACTATTACTGTAATAGGGCGACAGGTTTTGCGAACTCCGTCCACAATAGGGGGATACACCTTATTGAGGCGACAAAATAACTGTCGCCCTTTTATGAAAACGACCCTTAGGACAATGAATTTTGCTGTCGCTAACCATCTAGATCGATTCCTCATGGTCCAATTAGTATAAATACTAAATTTCGTGGAAAAAAACATAAGGTAAACTTGGGTTAGGTGACAGTTTAGGTTTGTGCAGAAGTCTATGGGAAAGTCACCCTATTGGGGCGAAAAGAGTAATTGTTATCAGTCTTTTTATGAAAAGTCTTAATGAGCCGCATGCGCACACATATAATATCATCTCGTCTCTGTTTGAAGATTAGTGTTTAAACTATGTTATCGTTGGATGATATCCCAACTGTATCAATGCTTCATTACTTTAACAAAAAACCCCAAAACCACCAACAATTCCTAGCAACGTTTATAATCGGATGTAAATTAGTGAACTAAATTTGATTATACTCAACCACTGCAGGTTTTTCTATCGCAGCTTTTCGACAAATGTTTACATTGATGTGTCTTTACAATATTAATTGAAGAATATTCATTTTTTTTTTTTACTAAACATCCCTTCAGCGAATTTTATTTGTAAATAAACTTGACATATCTCACACTAAGAAAATCGTAAACCCCATTTGTATAGGCTTTTTTTTAAGACAACCATTAGACCTTGCATCAGATTTACAAGGAACTTATATGTTATTTATGTTATTTTTTTGGTTAAATTGTCGATGAATGTCTGTTGGACCGTTGCACATTGTCCTTGATATACTGCTGTTATGAAGAAATGCATGTGAAATAAATCAAAAGAAAACAAATCACTCAAGCAGAAACGAGCATAATCCGTCCGTGGCTAAGAACGAAAGTAATTCATAAATCATAATCTTGAAATAACCATGACTTCCTTTGTTATGATCTTTGTTAATATCATGCGATGTTTATCTTACGCAGATGTTGACATTGGAATCTTTTTTACTGGTATATCTTTCGGTTTATCTAAGTTTTGCTGGTAGTCAAGAACAAGATTATTCACAAATTTTATGAATGACTACACTACATTGTTTACATTTTGAGTCATTCAAAGAAAAAAAATACTTTGCCTCTAGTAAACGGGAAACTATATGATAAAATGTTATTACACCCTGTCACACTTGAGCCTTAGCACTCTTGAAACAAAACCAAAAACTGCACTTCACCTCAAAAATAAAGATATGATTTATAAACTTGTTGAGTTTTTTTGTTGTTGCAATATCCGCATTGTTTTAAAACTAATTGTACGTGTGTGTCATACCCTATTGAAAATCGCTGTTAATGTCGCTTAAGGCGTATAATCATCGGTAAGTTAAAGACAATCATAAAGGTTTCAAGCAATATATGCTGTATTCCCATCACCAAATCACGTGATCACTCTTCATCCGAACCAGAAATGTCAATTGGTGGCGTAGGGAGCGCGGTATCTGGTGTTTTTAATATCAAATGTCAGTGGCCTTAATCAACTGCATTACTCACTTTATTCTCGATGTAGACGTGAAGTGTTTGTGTCTACGCTTTCATATTTTTTTGACCTCGTCCGACTTTTCCCGCCCTTTCGTGACGTTATTGCTTTTTTGATGGGAAATGTCTGCTCCTTTTCTGGACAATTTTGCGCTTCGTCGTCTGAAGAGTTCTGTCAATTTGGTCATTTTGTTTTTAAAGCGTCACCAAAAAGAGAGGAAAAAAAATATTTAAAAAAACACTTTAGACTTGAAAAGATTCTCCTTATTGCCTTATATGGTTTGAAACTCATCAGAATGCTGGTATACTTATTGATAAAAACCAAATGTATGTACGCTACGATTTGGGTATTTCAGGTATTTCAGTAACCGGTTCGCATCATCGTTTTATTTGTCATCTTTCTGGGTTTTAATTTTTTATTGCACCGACTAGTTGAGGGTAAAATATTGAATGTTATTTTAATTTCTTTCAATCACAGGCAATGGAATCGATGCGCACCAAATTGTTTGGTAGATATCTAATTCGTGGTTTTGCATGCTTTGGTCTCTGAAATTGTATTTTTACATATATGTTCCAGAATTATAAACAATGTTTCGTGAACAACCAAACCTCAAAGGATTTCGGGCTGTTATTTATCAAACCTCAAGGGATTTCGGGCTGTTATTTATTTAATACACTCCACCTTTCAGGAAAGTCGTCAAACTATGGCGCACGGCAGCTTTCCACACACAAAAATGAAGTTATAACCTTCGCTTGAGAAAAACATGACAATTAATGTCCCTTACCTTGTTAGGATTCTGCCGGTAACAACGTGCTTCATTTCTATTATTGGTGCAATTTATTTGTCTTCCCTTATTTTTCCTCGTGGTTTCCACCTGGTGATGATGATCAACCGCTCTAGTTAAAATGACTCTTATAAGAATTCAGATGTTAGAAATCAAAGCAAAGGCGGCTTAGCTTGAGACAGAAGCGGAATTATGACATTAAGCCTGCATGATCTATAGCGCAGGACTGATTCGCAACAGCGTAGTAAAGAATACGATAGGATTTCATCTAGATTGTGATATAATCCCCGCTGTTGGAGCGTTTTTTGATTTGATTGTAAACAAATATATACTGAGGAAGATTTGTTTAATCATGCAAAATTAAATTTCCTGGAAATCAAACCCTGATGCATTCTTTGCAGTCAACATTTTTAAACAATATTCTTGGGGGGGGGGGGACTCATCTTAAAATCCATTGCACCTGTTGAGTTCGTGATATCAATCAATTATATACCTCTTGAAACTTAGCCATGGAGGTTTGAACTTAATGTATGAAAAAATGGGGGAAATCAAGTACATTCTGAAAATATCATGTTGTAGTTTCGTACCAATACTTATTAGGTTCTCTACACATCTGTCTTTGATGAATGATTCATCGGCGGACAAGAAATACTAACATTGAGCGATTCAAAACTCAAGGGTGCCAGCGATAGCTGTGTGTGTGTGCCTTCAAGGAAGAGTAGGGAGAAACGTACAACAATGTAAACGGAAGAACCTCTTGTGTAAAGTCCATGTCAACACAATGTTCCGATTGCTTCTAAATCTCTGCAACTCTGTGGGGTTGCCTTAAATTTTCCCTTTCTGATGGATTGGAGACGTTTGGTCTTTGTAGAGTTTTTTTCAATTTGTTTGAATAGAGACCTCTTTAGTGATATCGGTTGAAACAAACCAATTTTCAGTCGTATTTGAAATGAAATATCCAATACAGATTACGCATGTTGCGACTGACTCGTTTACTTATCAATATCCTTATAAAATCATATAAGTTGGTGTTAAATTGATCCTTTTTATAGTTAAAGGGAAGATACAACATTTGCAATTATCACAAAACGAAATGATGAAATTATCACAAAATACCTTACTGGATTGTTAG